CTATCTATGTTATGGGGATGAGGTTGAAGGATTGCCATCATATTGCCAGTGCTGTAGCATTAGTTTTTGAGATCATGCACAAGTTGTCTTTCATATTAGGAAAGGCTATTCTATGCCTTCATATTGATACCTACTGTCCTATCTGAAAACATAATTGTAAGCTCATGTAGGGATATGGCTGAAGGATTGACATGACTTGACATATTGCTATTGCCACATCATCAGTTTCTCACATCATGCCCAAGTTGGCTTTCAAGCTAGAGGAGGCTATTCATGTTGATATCTACTCAATACATGGTCAACTTACAACATGACCTGACTTAAAGACACCTCCAAGGATGAATCAGCCCATCATCCTATGGCCCTCAAAGAGCTGTATCAAAGTTGACTATGTTTGGGACAGGCCAGTAGCTATGAATGTGAAAGCAGACAGTGTGAAAGCCAACTTGGTCGTGATGTCAAAAACTGGCAATGTCATGTCAATCCTTCAGCCATATCTCCACATGAACTCATAATTATGTTTTAAGATAGGACAGTAGGTATCAATATGAAAGGCTTAGAATAGCCTTTCCTAATGTGAAAGACAACCTGTGCATAATGTCAAAAACTTATGCTGCAGCACTGGCAATATCATGGCAATCCTTCAACCTCATGCCCATAACCTAGACAGGGTCAATGACACCACAAACTACATGGCAACTTGTAGTCTCAAAAAGCGGACACTACAAACTTTTCTAATGAAAAAATGAACACTACAAACTTTGTAGTCTCAAAAAGCGCACACTACAAACTTTCTAATGAAAAAGCGGACACGTCAAACTTTTGTAGTCTCAAAAAGCACACAACACAAACTTTTTTAATCAAAAAATGAACACTACAAACTTTGTAGTCAGGATAACCTTTTGACCTTAACCCTAACTTTGTAGTCTAAGTCCAAGTGTTTGTAGTCTAAGTCCGACTTTTGTAGTCTTTTGTAGTGTATGAGTAAACTTTGTAGTCTAAGTACGACTTTTGTAGTCGTTTGTAGTCTATCAGTAAACTTTGTAGTTTAAGTCCGACTTTTTTGTAGTCTATCAGCAAACTTGGTAGTCTATATCTGACTCTTATAGTACTTCCTTTTTTGGTCATTTTTCCCATGATACAATAATTGTAGCCCTTTCTTTTAGCTTTCTAAATATACTGAAATCATGTTATTTGGTTTTGTTTTCATCAAGAAAAACACAAAAAACAAAAAAAAACACAACACTTTTGAAATTCCTTTACCTCATATGTCCACAACAGGAGCACTTCAGAACATAATTCAAACAGATTTGGGAAGCTACAGTATAGGGCTACAACTTTCGCTTTTTGACCATTTTTGGTAATTGGTCATGTGACCATCATCCCAACATCCTCTTACATGGACCCTGATAGGTAACATCATTCTCCTCTTGGTTTTCTTCACTTTTTAGTCAAACCAGGTGATATTTCCCTTTTGGGATGGACCCTGAAGTGGACCCTGAAGGCAGTGCCTGATGTTCTGTATTCAAAGCATTCATGCCCTGGGTATCCATTGAAAAATCGCAATGAAATACCCAGGGCTACATTTGAAAAATCGCAATGAAATGCACAGGGCCACATTTGGAAAATCACAATGAAATGCACAGGGCATCTATTGAAAAATCACAATGAAATGCCCAGGGCTACATTTGAAAAATCACAATGATATTGCTCATGTAGCTAATGAAAGTTGCAATGATATCACCCAGGCACCTAATGAAAATTGCAATGATATTGACCAAGTAGCTAATGAAATTTCCAATGATATCGCCCAGGTTTCTAATGAAAATCGCAATGATATTGGCAAGATAAATAATGAAAAGCACAATGATATCGGCCAGATAACTAATGAAAATTGCATAATGAATAGACATGATAACTGGAATGATTCCTATCATAAAGACTGTGGACTTATACACAGGGAGCTCTAGGCAGTTACCTTATTTATATGATAAAAGTGGTACCCACCAGTCCTATTCACAGGCAAAGTTGGAGCTTTACAGTGTGTTTCGTGCAGTCAAGGATCTCCGGCATAGGATTTGGGGAATTCACTTCCATATCAACATCAACGCGAAGTTTTTGATTGAGATGGTAAAGCAACTGGATCTTCCAAACGTGCCCATGACACGTTGGATATCGTATATCGCTCTTTTCGACTATGTAATGAATCATGTCCCGGCGCAATCTCATGCGGGCGTTGATGGGCTTTCTCAACAAAGATGTACCCCCAAGGATTCTGAAGAAGAAGACGCAGAGGAGTATTTGGACAAGTTTATGGGTGTAGCCCTACTTGACTGCCCTTCCCTCTCATCCATATCATTAACGAACTTTTTATCTTCAGAGTCGCTTCATGCCTTTCGGAGGTCTTTATTGTCCTCCACTGATTCCTGCCGGAATCCGGCAGAATCCGGGCAATTCCCGGAATTCCGGAGGAATCAAATTTGGCAGAGCACCCTGCCAAATTGATCAAATAATTCCAAGGAATCCAGAACGGAATTCCGATTCTGCTGGAATGGTTCCTGGAATCAGACAGACGGAATGATGTCCGGAATGCATCTGGAACGGAATCCGTTGATGGAACGCTGACAACGCCCACACAAATCAAGCGTCGGCGTTTGCCGAGACTCGATTTGGGCATTGTCAACAACCCTCAACCCTACTCCTCTCCCACCACCATCGTCCACGCCGATCCCAGCCCAGGCTGTAGTTTTAGACCAAATTGACCTGGAATGTTCCACCTTATTCATTTCCATAGGGTGTGCAATTGGCCACTTGGCCAAAATGCCATGGGCTGTGGAATGTTGGAATATTTGAAAAAAAGCCTTTCAAAAATAAAAATTATTGCACCTATAATAAAATATACCCCCAGAATATGTTTTCTGCTTATAATATCATTCTACAGCATCTATTTTTAGTCTGATATGTTTGTGATTCATTACAAATCTAAATATAGCTCACATGTGTTTCATGATTAAAAATTCTCAGAAATGGGATATTCTGGATCACTGATATGTTTTCTGTATGTTTTGTCTACCTAAAGAGCATCCAGATATGTTTTTTTCCTTGAGATCCAGAATGTTTGTAATTTATTACAAATCTAAATATAGCTCAGATATGTTTGATGATTCAAAAATCTCTTCCTGGATCAGCATTGATAAATGGTATGTTTTCCTGTATTCTGTGGATGTTTTCTTTTTGCCTAAAGAGCATCCAAATATGTTTTTTCTAGGGTTGGACAGATCTAAATATAGCTCAGATATGTTTTATGATTGAAAATTCTTAGAAATGGTACATCCTGGATCAGCATTGTTGACTGGTATGTTTTCTTGTATTCTGTGTATGTTTTTCTTGCCAAAAGAGCATCCACATATGTTTTTCCATGTAATAATTCTTCTAAAAAAGCTGCATTTCACCAGAATATTCCAATTGTAATGATTCTCAGTTTTCTCCATCAAAACTTGTGTTACAGCTACTCAAAGCTACCAAGTAATCTAGAAATATATTTCTGATTTTTCCAAAAAATTTCCGCCACAATCAGAGGTGTGGAGATGATGGATGCACAGGTCATGTTCCGGATGACCTTTTGTTCCTTGATCCTTCTAGGTAACAAACAAATGTCAACAAAGGTAGCTCCTGAGAGGAGATTCATGAAAGTGCCCTTTGAAGGGTGTCATTCAAGTTAATGACAGAACTAACTCCATATTTCTTCAGTTGCAATTGGTTTCCATCATATAGCATGTATTTTGTATTTCAAATCAGCAGCTTTTCGGATGGATGGCTCAGGTTCCAGCTGGATGATGTTCCCAAAGGTGTTGCCACACAGGTACAAATAGTTTCCCCTCTAGTGCCCAGATCTTCAAAAGGCATGGTTATTCATCCTCTACACTTGTATCTAATGAAAAATATACATTTTAGTACTCTTAAATTAGAACAGAATCCAATTTTTCATGTTTTATCTTCACGGCGCCCTCGCAAGTGGATGGATGCAACAGAGTGAACTTGGATGACGTGTTTGAAGCTGTAGACAAACAGATGCAAAGTTCTCAAAAAAACATCAGAAAAACAACTGAAATTGAGCCAGGAGAGGAAGGGAACACTACCCTGACATTGGTAATACATATCAGTATGTTGAATTTACAACATTGGACTTGCTCTCTTATCAGAAGTTGGATAAAAATTGTAGAAAAGGAGAATCCCTGTCCGTAAATGTCAAAAACATATCATTCCAGCAACTTGTAAACTAATATATGCCAGCTATAGCCTACCAGCATTCAGTGCATAAGTATAGGAATATTAGGACAGGCAGTGTCAAATTTTGAGTGAAAGAACATACCTGAAAGTCTTGTTCCAACTTTTCAATTTTTAGGAGGGTTTCAAAACATTGAATTGTGTTGGGAAATCTTGCTCTGCTTGCCCAATTTTGAGGGAATCAGATTTACCTCTTCCTAGCTAAAGGTGGATGTTCATATAAAATTTGTAGGTACTGTATTCACTTTGACAATGAAGGATTGGTTGTGACAGTCATTGAATAGAGTAGATTTCTTGTGACTTTAACTATATTGTGTCCTCTGAAACTATCCAATGGCCATAAATTTTAGATAAAAATATTCAGAATGACAAACTGAATGGACTCACAAAGTTTTATGGAAATGAGAGGGTTGTGGAGATACAAGTAATGGGATAGGTGTGTAGAGGGTCACAGTAAAGTAACTGAAAGTGCCGGAATCTCAGGTGTAGATTAAAACTTTTCTGACTTTTACTCCCTGCCCAGTAGATACATAATGCTACCTATCTCAAATGATAGTACTAATCCTTAGGACCTCTAAATACCTTCTTTCATATCTTTCCCCCTTCAAGAACGAGTGCGCGCAGCACTCCTTCAGCGCTCGGCATTTTCCGAGCGTTGTTGACGAGTGATTGAGCGCGCCACGTCGCGTCTGCCCAACGTCTGCCACACCATCATGCCTCCATTCAAAATCCATTCGTCCTCCGTTCGGTCAAATCGTCCTTCCGTTCGACGGTCCACTCACCCTTTCGTTCGATGTTCCCTCGTTTTCGGTAGGTCGTGCTCAAGTCGTCATCGATCGATGTTCGGATATGCTGATCTCGACATTCAGGACTCCAGAGGGAAGGGCTTGGTGTTCGCTAGACGCGAACTTTCTGATTGTGAGTTTTACTTACTGGGGCACCCCGTCGTATCCAACAGGACTATACATACCTCCAACCACCACCAAATGGCTGACGTGGTATGCCAACGGTCAATCCGGGCATGCCACGTCGGTGACGACTTTCAAAACAACGACGCCCATAATGCCAGGACGCCAGGACCACGCAACGAGGGACGATGCACCACCATCCCTCCACTAAGCGACCGCCCACCACCAGCACCCCAACCCACGAACAACAACGGGCCACGAGTGCCCCCCACCCACGGACGGCGACGAGCGCCCACCATCGCCACCACTCAAACGACAACAGGCAACGGTCACTCACTACCAACCAGCACTCACAACAATCCAGGTGAGCTGCGATAACGCTCCCCCCATTTTCACCACACACAACTCAGCTGCCACGTCGCCCACAGCGACATGGCAACCAAATTCATTGTTCGTCGCCACGGATCGACACAACCTGATGACGGGCGACTAACACGACAACGGATCGACAACATTACCGGACACGAGGACACGATGGCATAGAAATGGGATAGATCAGCACTACGGGTTTGGCGAGGACAGGGTGAGTTCACTCGCAGCCTTATTCGAACCAGGCCACCTCCATCCATCCATCATTAACCCATTCCTCCCTGTAGACTGGAGCTGCGTGTGAGTGAGGTGAGGACGTCACCAGCCACCTCCCGCGAAAACGAGTTGACGTAATCACACGTAAGCCCCTCAATCTTTGCCTCTCTGCTCACCCCGCCATTCACCCATCCATCCCTTGGATGTCACCAGCCACCTCCCAATGCTGCCGGCCCACACCCCGACCCGATGTCTCCCCGATGCCCCACTTTGCAAATGGGCTCAGACGTGTTGTGCGTATAGCCGAGCCGATGCAGGATTGGACTCGACGACTCCGAAAACGACGACACCCATGATGCCAGGATCCCACAATGAGGGACAACAATGACGATTCGCCACCACCCTCCACCAGTGACGTTGACCGCCCCCCACTACCACCACAACGACCACGATGCCCAGCACCCACGGATGGTGATGAGCGCCCACCATTATCAACACGGCGACGGTCTAGGACAACATGCAGCAAGCGTATAGTCCAGCCGATGCAGGATGGGACTCGACTCCGGATGGTATGCTTTGCGTTGCCGAAGCTGAGCCCAGGTAAGTCTACAGCCCTCTCCTCCTCACTGCTTGCTCTGACAAATTTGAGGTACAATAGATTCTTAGAAAGAACCAGAAAAATGAACCAACCTTCATTCTTTTTGCACTCAACTGTATATTCACTATTGCTGATCTTATAGTATTCAATTTGCACATCACACATCACACCCAATTTTCATCAGCCCTGCCAATAAATTTTTCTCAATTTATGGCAATTTTGGAGATTTGTCAGAAAAATAAAAAAAGTCATGTGCTGTGTGAGTGGGAAACTTTTTTGCTGGAAACAAAAGTGGATCACATAAAACTACTTTGAAACATTACATTGTTCTCTAGCTACATATCAACACTAGATGTCATACTTTGCCATTCAAGTCACAAAACTTCATACAAACATTTCTTTATACTAAAGATGCCAGAAACACTGCTACCATATCATTCATACAGAGGTTTGAGCATCCTAGATATCTTTTTCATCATCTGACAGATTCTCCAAGGCATCATCACTATCTGATGAGGATGCATCTGACAGGGCCATTATATTTGCATCTGCCCCATTCTCAATCAACAACTCTGCAAGAGCTTGATGGCTGTTATATGATGCTGCCTGGAGTGCATTTCCATAACTTCCTCCCTGTGCATTTACATCTGCCCCCTTCTCTATCAACAACTTTGCAATGGCCACATGGCCTCCACCTGATGCTGCCTGGAGTGCATTTCCATGATATCCTCCCTGTGCATTTACATCTGCACCCTTCTCTACCAACAGCTTTGCAATGGCCTCATGACCTTTAGTTGATGCTGCCTGGAGTGCATTTCGATAAAATCCTCCCTGTGCATTTACATCTGCCCTCTTCTCTATCAGCAGCTTTGCAATGGCATCATGGCCTCCATTTGATGCTGCCTGGAGTGCATTTCCATACCATCCTCCCTGTGCATTTACATCTGCCCCCTTCTCTATCAACAGCTTTGCAATGGCCTCATGGCCTCCATTTGAAGCTGCCTGGAGTGCATTTTCATAAATTCCTCCCTGTGCATTTACATCTGCCCCCTTCTCTATCAGCAGCTTTGCAATGGCCTCATGGCCTTTAATTGATGCTGCCTGGAGTGCATTTCCATAAATCCTCCCTGTGCATTTACATCTGCCCCCTTCTCTATCAACAACTTTGCAATGGCCTCATGTCCTTGATTTGATGCTGCCTGGAGTGCATTTCCATAAAATCCTCCCTGTGCATTTACATATGCCCCCTTCTCTATCAACAGCTTTACAATGGCCTCATGACCTTTATTGATGCTGCCTGGAGTGCATTTCCATAACATCCTCCCTGTGCATTTACATATGCCCCCTTCTCTATCAACAGCTTTGCAATGGCCTCATGACCTTTAGTTGATGCTGCCTGGAGTGCATTTCCATAAATCCTCCCTGTGCATTTACATATGCCCCCTTCTCTATCAACAGCTTTACAATGGCCTCATGTCCTCCATTTGATGCTGCCTGGAGTGCATTTCCATAAAATCCTCCCTGTGCATTTACATATGCCCCCTTCTCTATCAACAGCTTTACAATGGCCTCATGACCTTTAGTTGATGCTGCCTGGAGTGCATTTCCATAAAATCCTCCCTGTGCATTTACATATGCCCCCTTCTCTATCAACAGCTTTACAATGGCCTCATGACCTTCATTTGATGCTGCCTGGAGTGCATTTCCATAAAATCCTCCCTGTGCATTTATATCTGCCCCCTTCTCTATCAGCAGCTTTGCAATGGCCTCATGGCCTTTAATTGATGCTGCCTCAAGTGCATTTCCATAGATTCCTCCCTGTGCATTCACATCTGCTCCCTTTTCTAGCAAATTTTGTGATGCTTCAGTCAGTCCAGCCAGTGATGCATAATATAGTGGTTTAGCAATGTCATTGCTCTCTGTTTCTAGCGTGCTACGATGATATTGGTCTATATCACAAAGTCGAACCCAGTTGAGAAAAGCAGCATTTTCATCTGTCAAGAGCTTCATCATCAATGCAAATCCCATAGATGACTGACATCTATTTTTTCCACTGGAATGTGTATGCAAAATCCAGTAGTTTGCAGCATAGTTTGCAAGGGGAGAGAACACTTCTACATTTATATCAAGTGGCTCAGAAGTATTGAATTGCAAAAGATATGCCAGACAGATTTGAGATATGACAGAGTGTGATAGCTCATCATTGAAGCTCAAGTCTCTGATATGTGTCACTTGATGATTTCCAATATACTGGGATACCAGATATTCTTTGACAGAAAAGTGGGAAAGCTTGATAAAACCTATTTAATAGTCAGTGCTCATTTCAATCTGGTATTATTCTAAACCATACCATCTGATTTTATAATGAAACTAGAACATATTTTCAAGACATCCTCAATATCTTGAAGTTCATTATCAGAGTTATACTCTGGTCCATTGTCAGCACAAAGGTCAACAGCAGCAGTTGCAGCCAGCTCTTCCAGTGTCAGTGGGCAAACAGCAAAAGATAGCCACTGTAAAAATGTTTTTGCATAACCATGATCTTCTTTATTGATTCCCAGCAAGATTCGATCATAGGTTTTATCCAAACCCTGAGGTAGATTAGCTAGCTGCTTTTTCAAACCAGCCTTACTCCGGCACTTTTTCAACTCATTTAACTGTAATGCAACCCAGCGAAACCTAAAATTGGAGTGAGCAATTATCCTGTCATTCCAATGTTGATAATCAACATACATTCCATCTGCTTGTTCCATTAATGTCAACTTTATTTGCTTTTGAGTGTCAGAACTCCATTTTTGCAAGTTAGAGTCATTCTGAAGCTGATAGTCAAGATAGGCTACAAGATCATGATTCTCAGATTCCTCAACCAAGTCAAGGTAATGATAAGACTTGAACTTGTCCTCAATCTCCTGCTCTGGGCGACTAGCAACTATTAAGTGGAGCCCTAAATTGATATCTTTCTCCAGAATAACAGTCTGAATCCAGTTAAGAACCTTTTCTCTTTCAAGACATTCATCAAGAGCATCCAGAATAATAAATGTTGAGCTAAAGCCACCAAGAATTTTCTGAAGAGTAGTCTGCAAATCATCCAGAGTTGGCTCCTGATGGCCATTGCCACAGCCAGTATAAAGATCTACCAAGACTTTAGGTATACCCTCACATTTGAGACTGAATTGCCAGATGAGTGATCGCATCAGTTTATCATGCAGCTGGAAATCCTTTTGTGAGTCTCTTCCATCAAAAAAGAAATACGCAGTAGCAGAATTGAATCTTTCAGAAACATTGTGAATTATTGCCGAGCTGTCAAAATAAAGATCAATTCAATTTCATAAAAATGCTGGAATTCTCGACCTTAAAATTGTTTTCCCAGAGCCAGCTGGATAGGCTGTCAATCACATATGAATCTACAAATTTTGACAGATGACTTACATTTTCCTTTGATCCAGAGAAAGCCAGGCTGTTTGAGCCACCCAGAAAATGTCTTTCCTTTGAGAAACCATTGGCAGGTGTCTAGTTGACTCTTCCGAATTTCAAATGCAGCATTGTAGTTGACAGACTCCTTAGGGGGAGAAAGCCACTTATAAATCTCCTTCACTGTCGCAAAAAAAATGAAGTCAATTATATATTTGAAAAGAGAACCTGTGATAATACCCAGTTGTTCATCCCTAATCATCTCAAGTGTGATTTGAATATTTGGGTCCACACCTACCAACCACATATATCATTGAGATGAATATAATGCTTGTCTTATTTCTTACCTTGATTGATGGTACCTATTAAAACATAAGTGAAATCAATGAAATGTGATAATCCAAATGCAACAAACCATAGTTAGGGCCAGTAGTCACATTGTGAGCTGAAATGTTGTTTATGATTTTATCTTGGTTTGCTGAGAAGTCTGCATAGTCAATTGGATTTGAGCAAACCTGAGCTATATTTATATTTATAGAGTACTGACTGGCTGGCATCACTTTTTCATTCAAAGCAGAAGTAACAGGTAGAGAGATAGGCAAGTCAGAACCTGGAGGATCTATGCAGCATTATCAGAAATAGAATATGGTGAATTGGAGCAAGCATGAACCAGTCAAGATAGGAGAAGACATATCAAGAGCTCCTTGCACAGGGCCTTCAACCTGACCAACTGTGAGATTAGAATTAATGAAGGTCAACATCAACGTTATAGTGAACAGGTTGAGGGGTATCTCACTGGCAACAGTCATTTCCGCACCAACTGACACAAGGCCTACAGAAGCAATCAGTGGAGAGGTAGGCAGATGAAAATTCAGGAAATGACAGAGATTTGGGGTTAACACAGACCAGTGGAGATAGGTAAAACCTGCTGTAAGTGCTCAACCTCTCCTTCCCCAGGGACTTCAAACAGATCACCTGTGAATTTGATTTGATGAGCAATCAGTGTTCACTTTGGGGCAGGAAGATTGAGATGTAGCTCACTGGAGGCTGGCATGGCTATGTCCTCCGCACCAATGGTGGAAGATGGAGTTATCGAGATGCTACTGCCATCCGCGGATTCAGGTCGACATTTATCTGGTAGCACAAGGTCATGAACTCTAACCTCAAACCGCCATAGCGTTTATTACGAGGGTGGTCGGTGCTCGTGACTTGATTGGGCAATTTCTCGAACTTGCGTTTCAAATGATTTTCGCGGGGGATGTTAGGATCAGACATGGTGGTTCAGAAGAGAGTATCGATGCTGTGCGGCGCCAATTCAGAATGGGGTAACGGACCGTTTCTCAGAGTCAGCTGACGTTCCTGATTAAGGTCCCCAGCGTTCCGAGAAGTGTTTCGGCGTCAAGTCAGCAAGCAGACGCACAAAGGACGGCCCACAACGGTGACCGAGAAGCAAAACAATGAACACCTCTCCAGAGTGACGGAACTCAAAGGGACGAAAGAAGGATGCGCACAGTCATGTTTTGGTTGTGGCTGTGGGAAAAGGCTCTCCCAAACCTTTCGCAGTGATCGACGACCCCCCAACGCTAAACACACCTACGCCTTGTTCTTTTGATACCTTGCGACCCACCTAAGGGCCCCCCTCCTTTCAAAATTGTTGTTGCCAAGTCAATGCTGTCTTTGTTCGGCATGGGATCCACCCTTGGCTTCAGCTCCGCCGCGAATCCCCTCGTTGAACACGGACTTTCATGACGACTCGTCCAGTTTTCCTCTCTGAGTCGTCCAGCCACTGCCGACATCACCTGGAGACCCTTAGTCGACTTTCCGTTGCAATCAAACGAAGTTCGACTGCCGCTTTGGTCAACATGCACCGATCTAGTGAGAGTGGGGAACTGTTGAGATTCAAAGGATGCGCGAAGACTCAGTTCATGGGATTCATCGCGTCGGGTGCATCAGCTCCGAGTAAGTTCTTCCTTCCATTAAATATCGTCCCCTTTCCACCTTACCTCGTTTGGCATTTGCCCGTTCTGTGCTACAAACTTCACCCCCCCAATATACTGATAATTCTGTGGCAGCTCTGGTCCCCTTTACTTCGTTTACGAGCGCCACGCTTCAAAGCATACAAGACTGCAAAGCACAGATTCCAAATGACGGGCGTTTTTAAAGATGCCTAGCTCGACGAACCTAATACGCTCTCGAAAAACTCTACACACCCTCCAGGTCACTGCTGTCCATCAGATCATAAGCGCACGCTTCAGTCGGAGAGCTGGGGAGTAGGGATAACGGCCATCTCTCCTTTGGTAAGTTATCGCCCTTGCCTTACTTATTCATCCATACCCTTCTCCCTTCCTCGACCTCTGAATTCCTTATCACCTCGCATACATTCGATCTTTTCCCTCGCTGACTGCCCACATCCGTTACTCAGGTCCTTGTTCTATAAAACCAACGCAAGGCCCACTTTGATTGTACCGTCATTCCTAGGTCCACCATGGCCCGCACGACCCGGCCACTTGCATCCCTTCGTGCATCGACTCACGAAGGGACCTCACACGTAAATTGACCATCTGATCGGTTGCGCCCAACTATGTGGCTATTCGGTCATTCTCCGCTGCTCATTCCTCATCTTCTCAGTAACCCCACGCCCGACGCTGCATGTGTCGTTACATCCATGGTATACCACCCACCCAATGGCCCCAACCTCCGCCCATAATACAAGCAATCGTTGGTTCTGGACTCAGCGTTCACACCGCGTAGAATCTCCGACGTATCCATCCGCAGCTCGTCGTCGCGATGGGCTGCCGCAACGTCGCACGTACAGATGTACCCGTCGCTGATTGGGCTCTTGTAAGTTTGGATTAGACGACCGACGATTGTTACTGACACCTGCCTTCTTCTCGTTCAGCAGATTGGGTTTGAGTCGAAGGATTAGAACGGCATCAACGTGAACGCGACCTGTCGGCAAAGCCAGGACATTTGAACTGCTACTTGCAACGGAGCGTTACCGTATAATCACGACACTCTTCCAGGTTGACTCCGTAGCTTGACGGACTGATATGTACCCAAATTATATACAATGTCAATCATAATTGCATTATCTCCCAGAACATGAACGAGCACTCGTTAAACCTGCTACTACTTCCTACTTTCACAGCCATTTACGGGCAGTACATACAGTCCTCCTTTGCCTGAGGCATTTCAGGCCAAAGGACGCAAACGTACAATTCTGGTGTCGACGATGCCAAGAGTCGGGAATGTGGGATACAGCGGCAGGTAGGTGAAGAACTGGGTTTACGGCCGTACAGCGCGCTCGACCAAAAGTGATTGGAAGCGGTGCAAGTATATGCGACCTACGTCCGCGTCATAGAGAAGAGGGTGGGGTGGGGAGAGGTAGGTGTCTAGGAGATCTCGCTGCACAGAGAGAAGGTTGCGAGGATCAAGTTCCTAAGAAGAAGCGGCTCATAGGAAGGACGGTGAGCGGAAGTGGATTGGTAAATCCACTTTTGAGAGGCTATAACTCGTTCATACGAACGGAGCACTGTCCTTTGCCCGATGCACCCCATGATCCTCAGTCAACGCATCACCACCTCCTAGATAATCCTAAACGACAGTCTAAACCCCTCTCATTTGTGGTGATCACGTCGACTTGCAAGAGGATCCAAGCTCGAATAGGAAGAGTCGAATGAAGGGGCATGTATCGTCGCCCTTTGGGTCCGAGAGGGGAGGGAGCCTATGTAACTATCGATCAGAATTCTTTGAACGCGCCGATGTATGTATGCTTATTCCTCTAGGTCGGACTTGTTCGCAACCAGGTTGTGAGTGCATCAAGACCTACTATCGAAATTGGTCGTGTAAGTAGGCAAAAAGAGAGCACGATAGAGGCCATGGGGGATGGCGGTACTTACGAAAGTCGTTATATGCGCGAGTCGTTAAGATAAATTCAACGATTCTGGCGTCCTCGAGCTTGTCGCCAGCACAGTGAGTTGGTGATCAGATACGCCCTTGGCTTGGCCCGCTGACACAGGAAGTTAGAGTGTAAACAGGTAAAGAAAGGAAGAAGAAACACTTACTGATAAACTTTAGGCGCTTGTTACTCTGAGCGACATTTTCCTGCTGATGAGTCTTCGCTGGGCATGAAAGACTATAATGATAGATCAGCCATCTGGAATTACTCACGAGGATGGGATCGGGGTGAACTCACTGATAAGCCAACCTCATGATATCCTTGCCACCAACGAAATCCTTCAAGACTACCCGGCTTTTCCTTTGATATTCTCTAAGTCATTAACCTCCCTTTCATGCGCCGATTCCATCAAAGGGTTTGTCAAGTCTTGGAGAATGCAATAACGACAAACGAGGCTTTGGCGAAGTCGACATTCGACCAACTTCCGTCGCTTCAACGCGTGACCCTCCGGTTCGTCATGTGGATGGCTGTTGCGGTAGTGAAAAATCCAGGAAAGCGCATCAGCTAGAACTCGGGGTTGAAAAAAGAGCCAAGAGGCTTGCCCCGTAAGAGCTTTACATTGAAGCCTGGTTGAGCGATATGTTAGCAACATATTGAAATAACCAAAGGCATAGTACTCACTTGATAGTACGAGTTCGTCCATGACCATCCGCTGCACTTGCTACACCTTAATGTTCGTTCAGTGGCGCTTGAGGGCGGATAAAGTTCATTGCAGTTGCAAGGTTGGAGGTGATCATTCTGGGCCACTGGCGCTCGGATATTTCCTCGTAACGCCCACCTTCGTCCTTTGGATGCGGATTGTGATCTCTGTAAAGAGAGACTGTCACGGTCAGAAATCGGCAATGATCCATACAGATGGTTGCCAGCAGCATAAGTACTGACGAAATACAAAGTTCTCGTCCAATCATGAGTTAATAACACATTGCACGGTTTGCATTATCCCAAAGGAGGTGATACTAGGTGTCATAATAATGAGCAGGAGAACGGATAACGAGATAACAAAGAAATCTTTACCGTTCTTATGCCAATTCATGGGTTTTCACGAGAAGGAAGTGCGACAAACGTGAGCGGCTGGGCCAAACGAAGTTGTAGCTTTATGGAATGCGTATTCGAAGATCGGGCGTAGACAGGAAAGTCGTGGATGGGTGATGGCAGTCATCTATGCACGCCGCATTAGGGCGAAAGAGTGATGAGGTGCAAAGTCGACGCCGAGATCTGAGGATTAACGAAAAGATTAATAAGAGATACATTGATAGAGGGCAGAAAATACGCTACTGGATCGCATATTGTTATTGTCCCAGAGATGAAATGAAGCACCAGACGAAGGACAATCGCGTAGAGCAAAAGAGGAGAGGTGAGGGTCGTGACCAACGCAAGATCAACGCCCAACGCGTCATGGACCACTATCATGCCTTGACGTCGCTCAAGACAGATCCAATACGTCGCACCGCCAGCTATCCCTGTCATTGCCTTTGCATTCTCAATACCTCGCAGTACGATCATTTAATGCTCCCTGCCTCTTTGAGTTAGCCTGAGGCCATTTGCTGGGTTGGATGACTCTGAGGTGCGTTTCCGATTTTTGCCGCCAGTTTCGCCTTCCAATCCATGAAGCCCTGCAGCGTGCTACTCCATGGCGGTTCAGCTGCAATTCTGGTCGCAATATCGTGCGGTCTCACCTCGCAGACATGCGGCTTCATCCAGAGCAGCCGCCATCCTTCACCCGCAACACGGAGCTCCAATTACTTGAGCTTCTCTATTCCTTCCAGCCCAACATATCCGAAGCAGGATGTTCAGCGTTACCTCACGTCCTCCCAGCTCTCGTGTTCGTCATTTGATGCCGTGGTGTTGCTGCCAGATTCGCGACGACCAATTATCCTCGTACGTCGTTCGCGTTGTGCAAGAAGAGGATCCCCACTGTCTTCTGTCGAACACCCTTCACCATCATCCACTTACGAGGCTACGGTTGCCGACTACCCAGCAGCCGCAGACCAGTCGGCACATCGACCTTCGAAAAAACCACCGCTTTTGACCACCTCCCACAAGGCGCCCACCTCTTCGTCATCGACCGAACGGCAGACGACCCATATGGCCCGTTCATTCTTGCAGATTGCTGTTTCGGTAGTCTGGACGAGGGGTTCGACGAGGATCCGTGAGTAAACCCTTTTTCTCTAAAAGTGGATACGAAGATCTGACATTGTCGTTGCATTCATCAGGGAATGCTGTGATCTGTTTTTCCCCGTCTTCCCGACTCTTGCTCTTTACATTCTCGGCATGGCGAATGAACATTGTTCATCAACCTCCACCTATCACCACACTGGCCGATCAACCCGCTGGATAGACGTTGGCTTGGAATCTGCGTCAGATGTCCATCTCCGAATGCCACGATCCTCCAAACCTACCCACATTTCCTCTCCTTCTCTTCCCACCGGACTGTTGCACGTTCCATATCGTTTTACGACGAGTTCCGGTGGATCCAAAAGCATCAGGACCATAGCCGCTTGAAGCAACGATGTCGACAAAAGTTTTGCAGGAGACAGTCACCAAGACTTTGGTCGTGAAAGGGCTTGACTGATCATACCGACGAAGTTGTGAAGGGAGAGGCGGCTGTCGCTTATGGAAGGGCTATGGCCGGTCAGTTTCTTTGTGGTGTTGTGTTGCAACGTCAGCTCACGATATCATTCAGGTTGCTATCAAGGTCCTGCGTCAAGTCATGGTACAAAACGTTCGAGAGAAGCTCATTAAGGTATGGAGTGCTTCTGTTGCTGGAACGTTTTGAGCTGACACGATGGTTTGTTAGCGACTTCAATCGGAGGTTATTGCTTGGCATCGTCTATGTCATCGCAATGTGTCGCGGCTATTTGGGATGGTGCATCTCTCACAGAGCATTGGCATGGTATCGCCTTGGTGCGAACATGGGACGCTTTGCAACTATCTGGAGCATTTCCCGGGCGTGAATCGATTAAGACTTGTGCGCATTTCATGTTATCCACCGAGTTTCATCGTCTAACTATTGTTGTAGTTCGCACAGGTGGCTTCCGCCATTGCCTATCTCCACACGTTCAGGCCTACCATCGTCTATGGGGACTTGTAAGGAGTCAGGCCCCTTCGTTTGTCCTCTCCCGCTCCCCCCAACTCAGGGAAACATTCTGATTGGCTATGCCATCATCACCGACTTTGGGCTCTCCAATTGAAACCTCCGGCAAAGGTATACGCATCTGGACGCAAGTCCCACCTAGGACTCCCTCCAGATTTGCGTTATCGCCACGCTACACGCACGAGGCTTCACGGCACCCAAATCGACGAATATTACTCGCAAGATGGGCTTGAAGAAGAAGGTCAGTCTCTGGGCAATGATTCTTCTTCTTGTCATGCCCTGGAAATCAAATACGCCATCTCCTTGCGTTGACGGCTTATCACCGATGACTTGAGGAGTAGCTTTGGGCTTCTCAGTCGCCACGCGTGGACTCTGCACATTGCTCAAGATTTTCCAGCTGGAAGTTATACGTTTCCGTAGCTTCACAATTTTCATTTGCTACTTGGTGGTCAAATTATAGCTACAGCGCAACCATTCACCTCGAAGTCTTTACGTCTATTTTTTACACCGCGGGGAACTCATCCCCACGCACACACTTTTAGCCAGTTCAATGGATTATAATTTCACCAACGCTTCCAAGGTCGTTCCATCCCCCACCTCTTTCAAAAGCGACAGTACATAGTACGAGCTTACCCACTTCCTCTCACCCTCCTCTGAGCCGCTTCATCCTCGCAACCTCCTCTCTGTGCTGCGAGATCTCTTAGATACACATACCTCTACCCACCGCAGCCTCTGCTCCATGACACGGACGTAGGTCACATATACTTGCACGGCTTCCAATCACTTTTGGTTGGGCCCGCTGCATGGCCGTAAACTCGATCCTTCGCCTGTATCCCGCATTCCTTGTTCTTGGCATCATCAACGCCAGAACCGTCACGTCTGCGTTCTTGGGCGCGAAATGCCTCAGGCAGAGGAAGGTATGTAGGTACTGCCTCGTAAATTGTCGTGAAAATAGGAAGTGATAGCAATCAATGAGTGCCCGTGATGTTCTGGGAGATAACGAAATTGCGATTGACGTTGTGCTAGTAATTTGAGTATCAATCGGTCAAGCTACGGTTGAGCTACGGAGTCAATCTGGTAAGTTTTATGATTATACGAAATCGTTCCACTGCGAGTAACGTATTCGAATGTCCTGGGTTTGACGACGGCTCGCGTGCATATTGATGCCTGTCCAATTCTTCGACGCAAGAGATCAGTCAAAATCACAGACCCTTTCACGACCAGAATTTTGGTGACTGTCTCCTGCAGAAACTTTTGTCGACATCGTTGCTTCAAGCGGCTATAGTCCTGATGCTCTTGGATCCACCGAAACTCGGCATACGATGATATGGAAAATGCAACAGTCCGGAGAGAGAAGTAAAGGAACTGTGGGTAAGTTTGTAGGATCATGGCATTTCGGAGATGGACGTCTGACGCCCGTGCCCAGAATGTAGAGAGCAAGGGTTGGGAAGACGGGGGAAAAGATATCACAGCATTCCCTGATGAATATAACGACAATGTCAGATCTTCATCAGCACTTTGAAGGAAAAACAGTCAACTCACGGATCCTCGTCGAATCTCTCATCCAGACTACCAAAACAGCAATCTGCAAGAACGACCTCCTGATCTCGCAAGCAATGCCAACGCAGAGCACTGCTTCGCATAAGCGCCAGCAATAGAGGTCCATCACGTCTTAAAAAGTATCCACAGACCACCCTATAGGCAACCGTTCGTCTGAAAACGACCGTATCAAGCCATTTGCCCAAGAATGCTCCAAAAAATCAATGAACCCATGCAAAATAAGTCGCTTGCGGTGCTTGGCGACGGACGGTTTATAAAGATTGAAGTTTAGTCCGTCTTTGGGCCCCTCGTAGCCTGACATCTGAAAGCTGACAACCATCTGACGGTACGCTGCGCTGTTGCAGAAACGAAGAAAGACAAAGTATTTGTGCAAGATCTCGACATCCCGTCGATTGAATGGTATGGATCGCTTGGTGTTTTCCTCGCTCCACACAGTTCGGTCCAGAAGATCGGTCACCACCGACCGAGCATCAGGCTCAAGCTTCGTGAAGCTTTGCTCGGCTTCTTTGAAGATTTTCTGAGTCTCGACACCAAGAAAGCCAGAGTTGAAGTCTTCAAATATGGTCCCATGCATATGGCTACTTGGTATCTTGTATGCTTCGTTTAATTCGTTATCTTACACATCGTATATGTGAACACGTTGTTTGTTTGCAGGTTTACCAGTTCCGTTGTAGAGATTTAAGACAGGTATGATTGAAGGTTGTCGTCGACGTACACATGCGACGGACAGAACTCCTAAAGGAAATGAGGGAAATAAGGTGAGGTGGAGCCCGACATGCTGTTAAGCGCGCGTCGGTGAGATAACCTAAGCCTTTGACAATGCAAGAACGTACCAAATGTCAGTCCACTCCTAGTTGCGTTGATGTGGACAAGAAGGAGAGCAGACTCTCCGAAGCATACCACGCGGCGGGGACCTGCGTCGTGGAAACAACTGGCGGATGAAACGAGCGTAACGCGCGTCTAGATGGCCATCATCAAAGCGATCGCGAAGTCGAAACCGAGTCCCTCTATTTAAACAAAGGTGGGAGACAAGTTAAGCTCGGAATACTGGTTATGTAGGTGGTCAACCGCCCGTGCCTGAAATGTCATCGGTCCATGAACACTGCTATCAATTCCAGAGCGGAAAGAAGAGGAATCATAACAGACCGCAGAAACACGCCTGACATACGTCATATGGCTTTGATATTGTTGTCCAAGAGGCGTCAAGCAGTAGCGCTGGTGGAGAGTGGGGAAGAAAATCAGGCCAGAAGAAGTTGAGCAACTGTGATTCCATGCGGCTGGACGAGGCCTAGAAGATTGAATATTGCATGAATTTCCCGAAGAAGCCAACTGGGGCTTGGAGAGATAGGTCCTCTTGAGACATAGTACAAGAGATAGCTATCGGTCGATTCATTAATCACAGGATTAGCATGAGAAGGAGGTGCATACTCACTAGTGAGCTGATCTCCGGTTTCTCTCTGGAGACGTTTGGACGTTTCGCGTAAATGAAACTGGCTCAATGAGCCGGACATCCTCAAAGATCGCGGATGATTTCTGTTGATTTCAAGGCACGTATGACAATCAAACGACGATGAGAGAGGATACTGAAGGTGTCGTTCGCCTGTCCTGGCAAAGACTTCGAAAGAAGAAGGGAGGTGGTCAAACGCGGTGGTGATTCGCGCTGAAAAATGGTCAATGGACCCGGGTGGTTGGAGTTCCGACTGGTCTGCGGCTGCTGGGTGGTCGGCAACCGTAGCCTCGTAAGTGGATGGTGGTGATGAGTGTTCGACAGAGCACGGTAGTGGATCCTCTTCTTGCACAAAGGGAACATCAAATGGCGAATACGAGAGTTGAGAAGGCTTGAGTTAACGTTGAACATCCTGCTTCGGATATGGCGAGTTGAAAATTAACAGAGAAGCTCGAGTCAGTGCCGCCGGAGCAGCATATCTGTGAGGTGAAACTGCACGATAGCGTTGCAGGGCTTCAGGGAACCTTAGAAAGCGAAACTGGCGGCATAGGTGGCAAAGGCACCTCAGAGTTATCCAACCAGCTTCAGCTATCAAATGGCCTCGAGCTAATCTGGTGCAAAGCCAATGAAAGGGATAACCGGCGGTCCCGTAATCCCTGCGACGTGTTAGATGTGTCTTGGTCGACGTCAAGGCATGATGCGATGGTGGTCAAGAACAAATATGACCATCTGTTCAACCCCGAGTTCTCGCTAATGCGCTCTCCTGGATTTTTCACTACCGCAACCGCCATCCAGCTCCGACAGATCCATGACGAACCGGACGAGGGTCACGCGTAAGTTGGTCGACTGTCGACTTCGCCAAAGCCTCGTCCGTCCTTGTTGCATTCTCCAAGACTTGACAAGCCCTCTGATGAAATCGGCGCATGAAAGGGAGGTTAACGACTTAGAGAATGTCAAAGGAAAAGCCGGCTACGACAGAACGATTGGACCACTTGAAGGATTTCGTTGGTGGCCAGGATATTATGAGGTTGGGTTTTCAGTGAGTTGACCCCGACTTCATACTCGTGAGTAACTCCAGAGAATCTTTCGTTATAGTCTTCTTCATGCCCAGCGAGGACGTTCATCAACAGGAATATGTCGCTCAGAGTGACAAGCGCCTAGAGACGGGCCAAGCCAAGTCGACGTCCGCGTATCTGATCGCCGACTCACGGTAGCTCACGGTTCTAGCTACGAGCTCAGGGGTTGTCTTCTTCATCAAGGACGTCAGACTTCAACGAACCCGGATTACTCGCGCATACACCGACCTTCGTAAGTACTGCCATCCCCCTTGGCCTCCATCGCGCTCTTTTTCTGCCTACTTAGACAGATCAATTTTGATGATAGGTCTTGGTGCACTCACAACCTGGTTGCGAACAAGTCCGACCTAGAGGAACTAGAACACGTCGCTGGGTCCATGTACATGGGCCGTTCGGAGAGTCCTGACGGATAGTCGTTACATAGGCTCCCCTCCTCTCTCGGACCCAAAGGGCGACGACACATGCCCTTTCATTCGACTCTTCCTACGAGCTTGGATCCTCGTGCAAGTCGACGTGACCACCCCAACTGAGAGGGATTCAGGCTGTCGTTTAGGACTACCTTGGAGGTGATGCGTTGGCTGAGGATCCTGAGGTGCATAGGGCAAGGACAGTGCGCCGCTCGTATGAGTGAGTTATAACCCCTCTCAAAAAGATTTACCAATCCACTTCCGCTCACCTTCCTTCCTATGAGCCGCTTCTTCTTAGGAACTTGATCCTCGCAACCTTCTCTCTGTGCAGCGAGATCTCCTAGACACCTACCTCTACCCACCCCACCCTCTTCTCTATGACGCGGACGTAGGTCGCATATACTTGCACCGCTTCCAATCACTTTTGGTCAAGCGCGCTGTACGGCCGTAAACCCAGTTCTTCACCTACCTGCCGCTGTATCCCACATTCCCGACTCTTGGCATCGTCGACACCAGAATTGTACGTTTGCGTCCTTTGGCGTGAAATGCCTCAGGCAAAGGAGGACTGTATGTACTGCCCGTAATTGGCTGTGAAAGTAGGAAGTAGTAGCAGGTTTAACGAGTGCTTGTTCATGTTCTGGGAGATAATGCAATTATGATTGACATTGTATATAATTTGGGTACATATCAGTCCGTCAAGCTACGGAGTCAACCTGGAAGAGTGTTGTGATTATACGTTATCGCTCCGTTGCAAGTAGCAGTTCAAATGTCCTGGCTTTGCCGACAGGCCGCGTGCATATTGAGGCCGTTCCAATTCTTCGACTCAAACCCGATCTGCTGAACGAGAAGAAGGCAGGTGTCACAGTAACTATAGTCAATCACGTCTAATTCAAACTTACAAGAGCCCAATCAGCGATGGGTACATTTGTATTTGCGATGTTGCCGCAGTCAATGGCGACGACGAGCTGTGGATGGATACGCACGACGGAGAATCTACACGGTGAACGCTGCATCCAGAGACAATGTTTTGCTGGTCTCACGGGCAGACATTGCGGCTGTTGGGTGATATACCATGTATGTAACGACACATAGCGTCGGGAATCGGGTAACTGATAAGTTCAGGGCAACGAGTAGAGGGGCGCAACAGATCAGATGATCTATGTACGTGTGAGGTCCCTTCGTGAGTCGATGGACGAAGGGATGCAAGTGGCCGGGTCGTGCGAGCCATGGTGGACCTAGGAAAGGCGGTACGATCGTCGAAGTGGGGCTTGCATTGGTTTTATGAAACAGGACCTGTGTAACGGATGGGGGCAATCAGCGAGGCAAAAAATCGAATGTATGCGAGGCGATAAGGAATTCAGAGGTGGAGGAAGGGAGAAGGGTATGAATGATTGAGGAACGCAAAAACGATAACTTACCGAAGGAGAGATGGCCGTTATCCCTGCTCTCCAGCTCTTCGACTGAAGCGTGCGCTTATGATCGGGAGGACGCCAATAACCCTATGGTGTGTAGAGCTTTTCGAGTGCTTATTAGGTTCGTCGAGCTGGAAACACCCATCACGTCTGCAATGGAACGTTTGGAACCTGTGCTTTGCGGTTTGTACGCTTTCGAAGCGTGGCCGTCGTAAACGAAGTTAAGGGGACCGGAGCTGCCACAGAATAATCAGTATATCAGACTAATAGCTGCATGCGGAATAACGGGTGGGAGGGGGAGGTGAAGTTTGCAGCACAGAACGGGCAAACGAGGTAAGGTGGAAAGGGGACGAAATTTAATGGAAGGAAGAACATACTCAGAGCTGATGCACCCGGCCATCTGTGCGATGAATCCCATGAACTTAGTCTTCGCGCATCCTTTGAATCTCAACAGTTCCCCAATCTCACTATATCGATACACGTTGACGAAAGCGGCCATCGCATTTCATTTTGATTGCACCGGGAGGTCGAGTAAGGATCTCTAGGGGGTTCGCGGCGGAGCTGAAGCCATAGGTGGATCCCATGCCGAACAAAGACAGCATTGACTTGGCAACAACAATTTTGAAAGGAGGGGGGCCCTTGGGTGGGTCGCAAGGTATCAAAAGAAAAAGGCGTAGATGTGTTTAGCGTTGGGTCGTCGATCACTGCGAAAGCATTGGGAGAGCCTTTTCCCACAGCTGACTGTGCGCATTCTCCTTTCGTCCCTTTGAGTTCCGTCACTCTGGAGAGGTGTTCATTGTTTTGCTTCTCGGTCACCGTTGACGGCCGTCCTTTGTGCGTCTGCTTGCTGACTTGACGCCGAAACACTTTTCGGAACGTTGTGCGAGGGACGTCAGCTGACTCAACTCAAGTTCGAGGAATTGCCCAATCAAGTCACGAGCACCGACCACCCTGGTAATAAACGCTATGGCGGTTTGAGGTTAGAGTCCATGATCTTGTGCTACCAGCTAAATGTCTGAATGCGCGGATGGCAGTAGCGTCTTGATAACTCCATCTTCCACCATCGGTGCAGAGGACATAGCCATGCCAGCCACCAGCGAGCCACATCTCAATCTTCCTGCCCCAAAGTGAACATTGATTGCTCATCAAAATCAAATTTGCAGGTGATCTGTTTGAAGTCCCTGGGGAAGGAGAGATTGAGTGCTCACAGCAGGTTTTACCTATCTCCACTGGTCTGTGTTAACCCCAAACCTCTGTCATTTCCTGAATTCTCATTTGCCTACCACTGCTTCTGTTCTGAATGTAGGCCTGGTGTCAGTGGGTGCTGAAATGACTGTTGCCTGTGAGGGATACCACTCAATCTGTTCACTATAATGTTGATGTTGACCTTCATCAATTCTTACCTCACAGTCGGTCAGGTTGAAGGCTCTGTGCAAGGAGCTGTTGATATCTCTTCTCCTATTGTGACTGGTTCATGCTTGCTCCAAATGGCTATATTCTATTCTAATAACTCTGTATAGATCCTCCAAGCTCTGACTTGCCCATCTCTCTACCTGTTTCTTCTGCTCTGTATGAAGAAGTGATGCCTGCCAGTCAGTACTCTTATAAATATAACTCAGCTTTGCCCCAATCTAATAAACTATGCAGACTGCTCAGCAAACCAAGCTGACATTATAAACAACATTTTAGCTCAAAATGTGAGCACAGGCCCTAACTATGGTTTGTTGCATTTAATTCATCACATCTATGGCTTTCACTTATATTTCAATAGGTACCATCAATCAAGGTAGTGTGTAAGAAAAGCATTATAGTCATCTTGATGATATATGTGATTGGTAGGTGTGGACCCAAATATTCAAATCACACTTGAGATGATTAAGGATGAACAACTGGGTATGATTGTGGGTTCTTATTTTGAATGTATAATTGACTTCATTTTTTTTGTTACAGTGAAGGAGATCTATAAGTGGCTTTCTCCTCCTAAAGAGTCTCTTAACTACAATGCTGCATATGCAATTCTGGAGAGTCGATCAGACACCTGTCAATGGTTTCGCAAAGGAAATACATTTTCTGGGTGGCTCAAATGGCCTGGCTTTCTCTGGATCAAAGGAAAATGTAAGTCATCTGTCAAAATTTGTAGATTCATCTGTGATTGATAGCCTATCCAGCTGGCTCTGGGAAAACAATTTTAAGGTTGAGAATTTCAGCATTTTTATGAAATTGAATTGATCTTTATTTTCACAGCTCAGCAATAATTCACAATGTTCTTCAAAGATTCAATTCTGCTACTGCATATTTTTTTTTTGATGGAAGAGACTCACAGAAGGATTTCCAGCTGCATGAGAAACTGATGCGACCACTCATCTGGCAATTCAGGCTCAAATATAAGGGTGGAGTACCTAAAGTCTTGGTTGATCTTTATACTGGCTGTGGTCATGGCCATCGGGAGCCAACTCTGGATGATTTGCAGAATACTCTTCAGAAAATTCTTGGTGGCTTTAGCTCAACATTCATTATTCTGGATGCTCTTGATGAATGTACTGAAAGTGAAAAGCTTCTGAACTGGATTCAGACTGTTATACTGGAGAAAGATATGAATCTAGGGCTCCACTTAATAGTTACTAGTCGCCCAGAGCAGGAGATTGAGAACAAGCTCAAATATTATCATTCTTGTGACTTGCTTGAGGAATCTGAAAATCATGATCTTGTGACCTATCTTGCCTATCAGCTTCAGAATGACTGTGACTTACAAAAGTGGAATTGTGAGACTCAAGAGCAAATAAAGTTGACATTGATGAAACAAGCAGATGGAATGTATGCTTATTATTAACATTTGAATGACAGGATAATTGCTAACTGCAATTTTAGGTTCACTGGGTTGCATTACAGTTAAATGAGTTGAAAAAGTGCTGGAGTAAGGCTGGCTTAAAAAAGCAGCTAGCTAATCTACCTCAGGGTTTAGATAAAACCTATGATCAAATCTTGCTGGGAATCAATAAAGAAGATCATGGTTATGCAAAAACATTTTTACAGTGGCTATCTTTTGCTGTTTGCCCACTGACACTGGAAGAGCTGGCTGCAACTGCTACTGTTGATCTTTGTGCTGACAATGGACCAGAGTATAGCTTTGATAATAAACTTCAAGATATTGAGGATGTCTTGAAAATATGTTCTAGTTTAATTATGAAAACAAATGGTATGGTTTAGAATAATACTAGATTGAAGTGAGTACTGACCATTAAATAGGTATTATCAAGCTTTCCCACTTTTCTGTCAAAGAATATCTGGTATCTCAGTATATTCAAAATCATGAAGTGACACATATCAGAGACTTCAGCTTCAATGAAGAGCTATCACACTCTGTCATATCTCAAATCTGTCTGGCATATCTGTTGCAATTCAATACATCTGAGCCACTTGATGAAAATCTGGGAAGGTCATGCCCTCTTGCAAACTATGCTGCAAGACACTGGATTTCACATACACATTCAAGTGGAAAAAATAGATCTAAGTCATCTATAGTATTTGCATTGATGATGAAGCTCTTGACAGATGAAAATGCTGCTTTTTTCAACTGGGTTCGACTTTATGATATAGATGACTTCTATCATATGGGTCAGATTGCTAAACCACCATATTATGCATCACTGGCTGGACTGACTAAAGCATCACATAATGTGCTAGAAATGGGAGCAGATGTAAATGCATGGGGAGGAGAGTATGGAAATGCACTCCAGGCAGCATCAACTGAAGGCCAGAGGCCATTGCAAAGTTGTTGATAGAGAAGAGGGCAGATGTAAATCCACAGGGAGGATATTATAGAAATGCACTGTATGCAGCATCAAGTCAAGGCCATGAGGCCATTGCAAAGCTGCTGATAGAGAAGGGGGCAGATGTAAATGCACAGTGAGGATATTATGGAAATGCACTCCAGGCAGCATTAAATGGAGACCATGAGGCCATTGCAAGGCTGTTGAAAGAGAACAGGGCAGATGCAAATATAATGACCCTGTCAGATGCACCCAGGGCATCAGAGAATTGATGATTTGTTGGAAGATCTGTGAGATGATGAAACAGATATCTATGATGCTGAAACCTCTCTACAAATGTTATGGTGGAAGTATTTTTGGTATGTTTAGTATAAAGAAATGTTTGTATGATGTTTTGTAACTTGAATGGCAAAAAGTATCTGGTATTGAAATGTAGCTAGAGAAGAATATAACATTTGAAAGCAGTTTTATGTGACTTTATTGCCATTTTTGTTGCATTTTTGTTTCAAGCAAAGAATTTCCATATTTGGACATATGCACTAGACCCTCTCTGAGTTAACAGTGAGCACATTTGCCATTTTTCCCTGATTTTCTGGCTATCTTTCATGCAGACTTTTCTTATTTGCCTAAAAATAGTATGTAACATCAGCAATGGTGAGCACAACTATTTTTTCTTGATCATTAACACAATTGGTTCGTAAATCTACACTGCTACTATTTTTGTTCAGTGTGTTTGAAATTTTCTTAGTGTTGCACAACTTTTGTCACCACTCAATGACACACCCATGGAAATCTATCCCCTAGAGAGGGGATAGATAACACTAGAAAAGAGAAACTCAACATGCATACAACAGAAATAGACCATGTGTATGATTCTGAAGATATGGAGTATGGAATACAAGGAACATATGCAGGGATGATGGTGGTTTGGAAGGAAGGAAGAATGCCAGGAAGTTGTGTATGTGATGTGTCTGTGGGAAGGTGATGCCAAACAACAGTAATCCATGATTACAACCCATAATCTTTAATTTTCTGCACAAAAAGTCATTGAAACAATAGAATGGCATCTAATCTCATTTAGTTTTTGTGGTGAATGGTTGTGCTTGAATTTGTTGAAGCTAATTTCCCAATTTCAGTGTATCATTAGCCAGCCAATGCATACCACAACTTGAATGCACACCCAATATTCAACCACACCTCAAGAAAGAATGAGAAGGAGAAAAAACCGTCAAATTGTAGTGTACTTAATAGTAGTTTGTCAAATGTATGTGGTATCGCAGGAAAGGGGATCCTGCACAGTGGCAAAATAAATAAATAAATGGTTAGATTCAGGGGGACAATGAAGGAACATGGGTGAGTGGGTTGTTGGGATTAAGCAAGGGAGGGGGGAGGGGGGGGGGGAAACTCAGAAGCTGGAGGGAGGGAGCTGGAGGTTGAGAACTTGCAAAAGGGGAGCAGGGAATAACATCCAAATCACATGCCTCTAAACTCTACTATTCTGTCCATGTCCATGGGAAGGAATGACAATGTGCCAGAGACAGGACTCCAACCATCCTCTGGGCCCCTCTCATCTCCTCTAATAAAACTTGCAATACTTGCTGTATGCCTATAGCTGCCCCTCACCTGATCCCTCTTGGGTACTATGAACTATCAATAGATTTTTGTTAGTTGACAGAACAATGTCATGCCAAGAAATCCATACCTGTTTCTGCTGTGAGCCAAAAGAAGCAAGTGAATCAGGCACAGGCAAGCTATATGTGATATCCACTTCCTCATGATCCAAACTCGTCTAGCTCAGTTCAAAATCTGCAGTATCCACCATCCCATTCATCCCTCCTCCCCCTCCTCCCCTATGTGGGTCCTCTAAATTGTACACTTTGTACTTTGACCTGCCCCTGAACCAGGACGAAGAGGTGAGGTTGGGTGGGGGTGTGAGCACTGCAGAGCCTCTGAGGTCATCTGGGAGGAAGAGGTAGAAGAATGCAGTGGCGAGGCATGCACCCCCTACCATGTCAATGAGGTAGTGATGTGATAGGTACATTGTAGCCCAATACAACATGCCTGTGTAAGCCCACACATATTTTGTAGTGGCTGGGAAAAAGTGGGATAGACAGAGGGCTTCAATGGTCACACAGCCTGCATGTAACAAGGGAACACACCGAATGGGATGCGTGCATTGGTGAATGTGATGGTGTATATGTGGGAGTGGAAGAGGGTGTTGAGGCAGGCTAGACCGCCTGGGGAGCCTTTCATGGAGTAGTTGGTGGGTGTGAGGCTGTGGATGAGCTCGTACCATGGTGCAGAGCATGGGAGGATTTAATGTTCATGTACCTGAATGTGCAGGCCCAGAGGTGGAGGGCTTGTTTGGTGCAGAAGTGTCAGGGTACCATTCCTTACTTGACCTTGACTTGCCCTTTCATTCTCAATCCCACATATCAAACATCCCATTTATCTGTGTATTACCTAACTAGTTACTTGCTAGTTGTATTCAGTGTTACTATCAGTTTAAATAGTTGTATTCCATGGTTTATGTACTCGAAGCATTGACGAACACGTTCAAACACGTCTTGTAGTTATGTGTTGTACACTTGTTTGGTTTACAAGTCTGACCAAACATTCCTGAACAAGGTAATGTTTGTAAGCTGCAAGAAGGAACTTTGTAGTAAGAGTCAGAATGATCTGGATACTTCTCATTAGTTTTCCACTTGTATTTAGGTAGAGTGAAATACAAGTAGGACATCTTACTTTTTAACCACAACTTTGACCAAGCTTAAGTGTGAAACTGTAGGGCTGATTGGGACTTCTCGACAAAGGCGTGAGTGTGAGATGGCGGCGGAGAATATTTGTAGTATGCGTGAAAGAGTTTGTGACATGGTGCTGCAAGGCGATACCACATGTAGTTTATCCTGTGACCCAGGAACTGGGGCATGGTCACCTGGCGCAGGACTCTGGTATCCTGGAGGGGAGGCATATGGCTGCCTAGCCATATAGAAAGGGTGTGACTCTGTCCACATGTAATATATGATGTGGTTGCAAAGTGAGTATATTTGTTATGAACACGACACTATACAGAGTGGGGACAAATACATGTAAATATGATGGTTCTAGATCACACAGAAGTATATACTATCATGCCATTACAAAGCCCCCCTGTGAGATTGGAGCATCGTCTAGACAGTTGGGACACCCATTCTTCCGGTCTCGTATAGTTTTGTTCATAGTCTTGAGTTTTCTATAAATTTCATCCTCCTCTTATGCCTTCTCATAAGTTATAATTTTCTATCCTCTTTCCTGCTGCATCCCAATTGTTTTCGGTCAGCGTTAAGCTACCATCCAACAGGATTGTTCTGGTCACTCGAGGACTCTCCATAGTTGTTGCTCCATTAATACCTGCGAGTTGAGGGACATCCACGGTCTTCGCATTAATAGACCGCACAGGGTCCATTTCTAACCGCTCAACAATTTTTAACTGCTCAACAATTTCTGACCCGTTTGTTAGGGTTAGGTAGTTTGGTTGGCCTTCGTGATGGAAGAGGAGACAGGGAAGGGTAGACCAGGGAAGGAGGCAATTTAGGTGAAGGTTCAGTTCTACAAGAAGTCCTTGAAACCGAGGAAGTGGCAAACAGGTTCACAGTCACATTTACGCTTGGCTCATGGAATGTGATGGATAGCATTGTGAATTTTAACTAGAGCAAGCAAGGTAGAAGCTACCGACTCCATCACCAAGGCACTGATGGCTGGATTACACAGAGATACTGGGCACTCAGGCTGTAACATCATAGTGTTTGCCATATATGGGCCGGATTTCATGTTTTAGCCTGAGGGATACCACATACTCTATGTTCATGCCGAAAGGCAGTGCGACATTATGTGGTAATCCTATAGTTGCAAGGGTAGGAACAATTGATGGTAGAGGGGAGACTAGCATTGTTTCGCTAGCAGGTCAGGGGAGCATGAAGGGATGAATCAGTAGATTCCATGGGATGCAAGGGTACAAGGGTAGTGGCAGTGTCTAGCGTGCACAAGTAGAGCCAGTGTTTGACAATAAAACTGAGGAGAGTGACACCTAGCATGATGATTGAGTTCCGGCGGTGGCCAGGTTTGGCAAAAGTTGTAGGATCATTGACGTCCTTGGTGGACTGAACTGTGAATTGAAGATCTGGCTATCAGGGTTCTTGACGCAGATGCATCGTCACTCCAAGCTTGTCCAGTGTTGGAAGAGCTTGGCCAATGATGAGTTAATCGCTGATTCTTTTTACGATGGAGTGCAAGGAGGTCTTTACCTTCCCCGGGTTATTCCATATGGATTCCATGGAATCAATGTTGGCTGAGGACCCAGCCAGTTTCTTATTCCATAGACCTCATGGATTCCATATGGAATGACTATGGAATGGTCATGGAATGATTAATTACATATGGACTCCAACACCATTCCATATGGATTCCATTGGATTCCATATGGAATGCAGGCATATCCACATTGCATTCCATGGAGCATTCCATATGGATTCCATGGAAGACCAATATACCATTAGAATACATATAAACACAGTATTTATAGTGTCCTTACTATATTTAAGTAAAAAAGATTTTTTGCACCTAAGAGAATTGAACCCTCAACATCATCAATAATAGCAACACTAAAGCCAACTGAGCCATGCAGGCTTTATTATATGTTAAACTAAAGGTAGCTATATACTGCACCAAGGCACATGGCATCATATGTGTGACATGCTGTGGCTGAAACATCGCCACGTCATTCCTTCCTTCCCCACCACCACCATCTGACAACCATCCACCGTCCCTCACCACCGCAACAAACCATGACTGCCCACATCAACGACGACAACACGCCAATGACGCCAATGACACACAACAACAGACAACATCGTCACCGACCACCCATGACCATTGATGAGTGCCCAGGACATGAAGACGACGTGGCAGATGTGCCACATCGTCTGGACAGTGACGACGCATGCCGTCGTCACTGTCCAAGCTGATCAGGTCAGTGCACCCACCACCTCTCGTCCTGTATGGCTGACTCACACCAGATCCAGGGGCCATGTTGCTGTCTGCAACATGACAACAATTTGACGACGCGACACGACAACAACAGGGCACAACCACAACAGCACGACACCAATGGGGACGAGGATGGTGCCATGTCACAACACAACCATGACTGCCCACTAACATCAATGACCACCCACGAAGATGACCGCCCACAAAAGTGACTGCCCATGGACGTGAATGACTGCCCATGATGACGACCGCCCATGAAACGAAGACGAACGCCCATGAGATGACTGCCCAGTGCCCCAAAAACGACAATGTGCCCACAAACAACAATGCCCACTGCCCAATTACAATGATGACAAACAGATGACAAGCGCCCATGGACCCCCATTGACAAACGGAGACGACTGCCCATGAAAGTGAACGGACACAGGCAATGATGAGCCCAGGTGAGTCCCCCCTCTTCCACCCTACTTCCTCCCCCTCCATCCCCATCCCCCCATTGCTCCCCCGGCTCCCAGTCCTCCCCTCCCCTTGCTCTCCTTCCTTTTGCTCCCCTCCTTTTGCTCCCCATCCCTCCAGTGTCCCCCTCACTTCAATACTTCCCACCACTCTCTCCCTCCTCACTCTCCACCACACCCACTCACTCCCCCCTCCCTCTCCCTCTCCCTTCA